AGATAGATAGATAGACAGATAGATAGATAGAAAGAAAAAAAGGGAATAAGAAGGGGGGAAAAAAGAGGGAGGGGATAGTAGTCCAAGTCTTCCTCGGTTAGGTCATGCATGAAGGAGCGGGGAGCCTGGGTTGATTGACATCTGACGATGAGGGTCAATGAATGGACGTAAATAATCAGTCAAGACAAACCAAACCACGAATATAGATCCTTAAACAGGGCCTTAAAATAACTTCCACCGTCGATCCTTTGAAACTGAAAGGACTCTAAGCAATATTTCCAAGAATGAAGGCACATTTGAGCCGTAACAAGTGATGAAAAATCAGCGAATCTGAATGCATGACAGTTCGAGCATCGAATAGATATTGTACTAGAGTATGTTGTCAAACTACAACGAATGAGTGATGTTTTGGTTCGAATACACTACATTCCTTGTCGGAATACTCTCCTTCTTCATTGGATCTTCCACAGGTATTGATATATAGAATCTATATTTTATTTTCCTCCTTCTTTGGCGTTTGAAAGACGGCTGATAGTTATTGTTGGACTAACATTAGAGWTGGTGAAATTAGAACACTATATAAATCATCCATGCGTTCAAGCTCAGTTCCATCGCGTTAATGCGATAATAGAAACAGTGTTCTTCGCTTTAAAATCTTACTTTCTTGAAGTTAAAAAAAAATTGTCAACCAAGAATAATATGTATAGAAAAAAAGCATCAAGTTCAAAAAGCGATATAAGCGAACTTTGTTTTGATGCGAGGCGGATTGTGCTCGCAGCCACCGACAACATCATAACAAAGCTTTTTCTAGCAAGATGACATCGGAAAAGCCGGTTAGCATTCTATCTAGGCTCAATTTATCCACAACAACAGAGGAAATATTAGAAAACTATATAAAGTGATATTACACATAAAAGCTAATATTATATTCAATAAGAGTACTTATCAAATTGACATGCATTTGATTATTCTAGAATAATGAATATATTTAACTTTCGAATGTGTTGTGAATGAAGTTAGGCTTTGACGTACAAGGATCGGACTGTCATCACGCCATCGGAATGACAATAATTCTATATTTTAATATTTCAAAGAATTGATTAAATATGTAATCTTCGTTAATTTTTGTTAAAGAGACTAAAATTGGAACAGTCTTGAAGGCAGTGAAAATGAAAAAACCGGCGAAAATCAAAATATTAGAATTACCTGGTGAAGCATGTTCCAAGTGCCACAYTTTTCGAGTTTATTAAGTCATATTACAGATAAACTGTCCTCGATCTACTTAGCTTTTCTTTGTTTTTGCAGTTTCATCTTTCCTCTCCAGCCCAGCTTTATTGTTCCAGTTTCAGTTTCAGTTTCTTTGCTCTATCCGTTCGTTTTTATGAAGATGTCATGTGTAACACGTTTTGGGTTTATTTAATTGCCACTGGACTGAACTAGTGGTGTTAGTGAAAAAAAAAAAAAAAAATGATAAAGTCGATAATGGAAATGATGTTTACAGGGCCGTAGCCACAAATTTCTGATTGGTCCGGTTTTCGAGGGTTTTCAGTTTTTCTTATATTTTTTTATTATTTTTCTTATATTTTTTTCCCGAAAGTTGGTTCGGTTGAAACCGTACCGGTGGCTACGGCCCTAGTTTAGTGGTATTTGGCTGCCCTTTTTTGTCATTGTGACTACCTTTAGAATGCTTGCAAATGATCTTTTTACATCATTACAGGAATCTGTTCCAAGCCTTGTTTTACAATGACCCCTTCCAACCCTCTACAAGTTGTCGAAGGTGAGACATTTGAAATCAGGTGGGAATACTGGAGCAAGAATTCTTTGTCTTTAGCTCAGTGGAAGAAATATGATAACCAAGGWAACCTAAAGGATCTCATTGCGGAACAGCACAGAGGAGGGAGCATAACTTATTCGTCAAATTACAAAGACAAGGTGGAAGTTTTTGAYGAAGTGTCGCTTCGTGTGAAAAACCCTAATCCAAGTGATGCTGGTTGGTATGGATGCCAGCTGACGTTCAATGGCGTGAGTGATGTACTAAGAAACAAGACACAGGTGCTGGTTGGTAAGTACTAATAACACAGGCCTATGATGATGATGATAATTATGGTGATGATGATGGTGGTGTGAGTGATGTACTTAGAAACAAGACACAGGTGCTTGTTGGTAAGTACTGATAACACTGGCCTATGATGATGATGTTGATGGTGATGGTGGTGTAAGTGATGTACTTAGAAACAAGACACAGGTGCTTGTTGGTAAGTACTAATAACACAGGCCAATGATGGTGATGATGATGATGTTGATGATGATGGTGGTGGTGATGGTGGCGTGAGTGATGTACTTAGAAACAAGACACAGGTGCTGGTGGTATTGATAGTGGTGGTGCCAGATGATGAAGATGATGATGGTGATGATGATGATAAAGATGATGATCATGATGGTGATGATCATGAAGATGGTATCAAGGATGATGATGATGTTGATGATGATGATGATGACGATAGTGATGGTATTGTTGGTGGTGATGATGTTGGGGATGATGATGATGATACAAATGATAATCATGATGATAATCATGATGATGATGCCGATAATGATAATAATGGATAATTTAGACGTGACACTAATGATGATACGCCACCCTATCAATGGTTCCATACTATTATCAATTCACATTATTCCCCGACATCTTACAGCCTCTGCATCAGGATCAARAGGGTCTAATGGCCGCCATTWCTACTGGATCTTCGTGGTTGTKGTWTTCCTTCTCATCGTCCTGGTGTTARTCTACATMTATCTTCAGAGACGAAAACAACGTAAGCACTGAACGTTCGCAATTCAGTTTTTTTAYAATAATTTGCAAATTTCTCGCGCGCTGATTGGTTATTTTATTTATCATCAATTAGAGGATCGACAGATGAAGCTGACGTCAATGAGCGGGCGCTCTTTCTGTCGTTTTGATCACTAAAACATAGGACTACAACGAGAAGTTTTGTCTTTTTTGTTATTATAAAAAAACAAATAGACATTAGTTTTTTATGTGTCTGTCCTCTTATTGACGATACATTTCGTCATCACATTGTCAAAGTAGTGTGGATTAACGAGATGTAGCCGAGTGGATCCGCATACTACTTTGGCAATGTGATGACGAAAACCCTGCGCGCTGTGATTGGTTGAACGAATATCGTCACGTCTGAACATGTCCGTGTCGACAGAAGCACGGTAGTTTCTTAGATATTGATACATTCTTTTCTAAATAGAACGTATTTTTTTGTGTGTTGGATTCGACTATTGCAGTCATGCGGCTACTGATAAAGTTTTTTTTTGTTTTGTATATTGTGGTGAATTTTGCGGTAAAACTATTCATTAATATTAACTCCATCCATTAGACAATCTTGTTTCGTGGTCACTTTTTCTTGCCGCTTTTCATTAACAAGATTATTGGATTTCGGTCTAACTGTTTAATTCTTTTATTCTTTCTTTTTCTTACAGAAAAACTTAAACGAATGAGGTGTGTAACAGTCTTTTTGATTAGATAGTAGAAATAGGTCTATTTTTCGCCGCCATGTTGGTGGTGTTTAACGAGACTTCTCATTAGCATCTGTTGTTTTATTTTTTTTCTTACATCCTTAACTTATTTGTAACTCATCATATTTTTTCTGTCGATGTTTTTTAGGAAAAGTCAGCAAGCTCCCAACGGCAATGTAATGTTTGACTTGGTAAGTTATGCGCATGAGCAAGTGGACTGGTCTCGTGATTGGTCACGTGCAAGATGCTTAAGCAATTGCCATAATGTATACTTGTATCAAGAACATTTAGCAGTAATCTCTTGCTCTTTTTTTTTTTTTTTGAAAATGACTGCCTTAAAATGATGCTAATTTTTGAATTATTCATATTTTCTTTAGGACAACCTTGAAGATGGAGTGCACGGCGATGCTGACGCTAACTATCAAATCATTCCACCGATCRGGACAGATCCCGAATCCCGAGAGTGGGAATGCCCGCGGGACAACATCGTGGTTGTCAAGGTCATTGGAAAAGGAGCGTTTGGGCTTGTTGCTAAGGGAATTGTRCAGATTGGAGAAAAAAGAGAAGATACTATTGTCGCCTTGAAAATGTTGAAAAGTAAGAACGTTTTGAAGTGATTTAGTATATTATACGTGTGCAGCTAGTTTTTCCGCCCCTGTCCATCACCTCAACTTCATTGGTTTTCAGTGGGGGTGAATGGATTGGGATACTCCTAGCGACTGCCTCAAAGACTGCACTAAAGAGCCGTTGTTGTCTCCCATTACGTACTTTGAATTGACTGCAACAGACTATCTATCTTTTGAACAATGCTGCAAAGTTAATCGGACTTACTAACAGAATTTTGTACTTTGGAACAGAAAATGCAACCGAAAATGAYAAAAAAGACTTCTTGGCTGAATTGGAACTGATGAAGACGCTGGATTACCATCCTAATGTTATATCACTGTATGGATGTGTAACTGTCGAAGGTAGATTGGTATTGTATATAGAGGCACAACAATTGAAGCTRCTTTTGTATTTGCATTATGCTACGCATATAGCGCACGAATGGGGAGGTATTAAGGAGATATGCGAACGAGTAATATGACACTTAAACACTGAATGATAATGATCATTATGATGGTGATGATGATGATGACGACGACAACGGCGATGGTGGTGGTGGTCATGATAAGTTTACTTTTGATGGTGGGGATGATGATGATGATGGTTAAGGTGATGATGATGTTGATGATAGTGATGATGATGATGCGATGATGGCGAAGATGATGACTGATGCATGATGATCATGATGATGGTGATGATGACGATGATGAGTGTGGTGATGATGGTGATCACAGTGATGACAATTCTTTTGATTGTGGTGATAGTGATGATGATATGGTGGTGATTAGTACTCATATTATTTTTTTGTGCAGAGCCGTACTTAATGATCATCGAGTATGTGCCRTTTGGGGATCTTTTGGGTCACTTAAGAAAGAGTCGCGGGTTGATAGATACTTACTTTGATGATCCGGACATCAAGCCAAAAAGTTCTCTAACTTCAAAACAGCTTTTCTCATACGCCTCACAGATTGCTAACGGAATGGTTTATCTTTCCTCTAGAAAGGTTGGTTTTGTCGCACTTTGTACCTTAAGACCTTATTGCACGTTGAACAACTTTAAGCTGAAACTCTTGCACACAACGGCGCGAGACAAGTTTCACAGGGATGGTACTCGGCGCAGTTAAGGCTTTGTGAAACTTTCGTCGCAAGAAAGTTTCACGAAAAGTAGGAATGCTTTCTACTCGTGCAACCGAAACTTGTGTCGCGAAAAATTTTCAGGACGAAATTGCGCCGTGTTACACCCCCGTAACTAAAGTCTACCCATTCTGCGCATGCACGCTCTGTATCCTACACCCTACCTCTTTTTTATTCTTATTTGTGATTCGTCTTCTATATTGTTTAAGGTGGTACACAGGGATCTCGCTGCGAGGAACGTACTTGTTAGTGAAGGAGAGGTTTGCAAGATCACAGACTTCGGTCTTGCTCGTGATATTCATCAAGAGAACATCTATACTCGCACTACCAAGGTACTGTCTGAATGTAATCTGCCTGTAAATCGTTGCTCCGTTTACTAGTACATTCCTATTTCCACATTTCATTACCACCATCATCTCTTGTCCTTGATTAACTGAATTGTACTACAATCTTGTATAATTATAGGATTTTTCGTTAAACTGCGGAATGACCTTATTGATCCCGCGCGCTCTTAACAATGCTTCTAATAGCTCGTGTGGAATCGGAACGAAGTACTATAATTTAAGGTGGATATCAATCAAGGCAGGTTTCTAGGGCATTCCTTAGAAAACTTTTTTTTTGGCAAGTTATACGCTTCCGCACGTGCCATTTAGAAGGACTGTAAGTAATGGCAGATAAGACTATTTAAAGTTTTTTGTTTCTGTGTTTGTTTTTCTAGGGTCGTTTACCAGTCAAGTGGACAGCGTACGAATCACTGTTGTACGGAACTTGCACCACCATGAGCGATGTGTAAGTTACTTACTTGCATCAGAGGGAGGAGTGGGGGAGGGGATGAAACTTTAATTGAATGTTCTGTAYCTCCCTCTAGGAGAGTCACCTAACTGAAAAACATTTTTTTCAGATGGAGCTTTGGTATTTTGCTTTACGAGATATTCACTATTGGTAAGCTTAACTTTTTATTTATTTGTAGATTATCGATTCTTTGAATTTTCATACTAGGTAATTAAACAGAACTGATTTAGACTAAAACCTCTTATGGATGAATCTTGGATTTCATTGGGTTGGGGCTCAAAATGTTCAAAAATGTCATAAGATTTTACGTTTTCTGAGCGGGTATGTGGCATTTGTGGGCCTTTAGGGCGRTGAAAAGGGAACCCAGTGTACCTCTACAGGATCCCCTACTGCACCATGATAAGAAAGCCCGAAGAAAGYCCGAAGAAAGCCCGAAGAAAGCCCGAMGAAAGCCCTACTTTTGCGTAGACAGCTTCGTTTTGAATCCAAGATGGCCGCCGCGTGAGAAGAGGAAACTAGTAGCCATGGTTTAATTCCTTTTTTATTTCATTTCTATATTCTTTAAAAGGTGGATCACCGTACCCAAAAGTAGAAGGGAAAGATTTGGTCAACCTTCTTCAAGAAGGATACAGGATGCCTCGACCAAAACACGTCCAACAAGAGCTGTGAGTGGGCTTCCTGTGTTATGTCTTGATTAGGTTCTATCATTCCACAACTATGAAACGGCTATTTTTAAACTATAAAATTTATGAATCATAAAAAGTATATTTCAGGCTCTTCCTGTTTGCCTGTAAGCTTCTATTAGTTGTTTTTGTTCCCAGTTTTTTGTCCTTTCACAAACTCACATGGCTGACACTACTGCTTGGGCTCCCTGTGTTCAATTCTACACCATTAGGATTTATTAAAGATTATTTGTTATTAACTCTAGTTATAAATTAATGATGGAATGCTGGCAAGAAAAGCCYGAGGGTCGACCAACCTTCCACTCTTTACGTGAGAGTTTAAAGAAGATGTCTTCAGCTCATAATGTACGTTTAATTATCGTTTTCTTTTGTTTTAATATTTATTACACTATAACCCGTAGGCGATCATTTTCGTTTTCTCTCCCCGGACTCCTAATGCTTTACCCCTATCCCTCTCCCCCTAAGTGCTCTTCTCGAAGTTCGAGGGAGAAAATGGCGCGTTTTGGTCGTGTTTTCATATTCTTTTCCGCCAACGGCCAAAATATATATATACAATACTTTTGCAATTGTAGAATTTATTCATGGTACGATTCTTTCTATTTTTAGGATTATGTCAGACTTGAAGAGTACGACTCGAAACTTTACGAAAATCTTGATGATCTTCATTTTTAATTTCAACATTTCTGCACGTCATCCCGGCGTGCTTGGTCTTCACCACGAGCACCACGAGCACACTTCCCGTTCCGGGGGGGGGGGGGGGGGGGGGGGGGAGATTAATTGTCATACAAAATGATTGAATGTCATTAGAGAAGGTACGTTTTTCACTGGGAGGAAGAGTGCTGGAGCTCCAGAGGGTCCAACTAATAATTTTGACGAAAGCTGCCGGTTTAATAGGAGGGTCATGAATTTTTACTGAGTGAAATGGGGGAGAGCTACAACCATTTTTTAAAAAATTTTGCTGCAAATCCCCAGCTCTCCTTACCTAATACAAAACAAACATACCTTCCATTACAACATCCATGCATATTATTTTTATACATACGTTATTCAAGACAAAGCTACGCCTGTGAAATGTTTTCCAGCTTGATTATATATATATCCTCTTAATATTTTAGAAATTTAAATATGTTTCCATCTTAAAATGTCGGCTTAAAAACGCAAAAAAAAAAAATTGTTAAAAGAATATATTCACTAGCACCAGTAAAGTAACCAATGAGAAATGGTTTAAAGAAATTGTTTTTAGTTAGGCAAAGATAATAGGAATAAAGTATTTTAGACCTTTGGCTGTATTTTAAAGCTTTTGGCTGTAACTTATTATTATATAGAGATGAGTGTTTTACTTGGAAATACGCCACTCGTATTTTTCGTACAAACTACAGTAACATATTGAGTAACATATTTCCCTTATCTTCACTAGTGAGGATAACGATGACGTCACTTGCGATGTTTTCCGGGACCTGTTTTATTAAATTGCGTGGATTTTTTCTTTGTAGATTTGTTTATATAATAAAAAGAAAAYTACAYGTTGGCTTAAAGATATGAAGTTTATCTTCTCGTGTTGAAAAATATTTCACCACTSGAAGATAAACTTCATATCTTCGCGCCACCGTAATATCCTCTATGTATTATATGCTTATCACAAGATTTCAAGAATTGCTGGCTTGCAATTATTCYCAAGAAAATGGAATAACAAAAGACAGAGCGGCCATTTTCGCGGCCATGTTGGTTGAAAATTCTTTTGTTAATTTCAACCAAGATGGCGGCTATGACGTCATTATGACGTATTATGGGTAGATACAGTTAGTACTGAATTGCAGACTCGGAAATATCCCGAGGTGGAAATGACGATCTTTATAAGARGAAATTAAACTGTTGGTAAGTATCCATTTCTCTTAACTTTTAAACCAATCACAGTAAAGTTTCTTTAAATGTTGGTTGTGTTTGACGAAGCTTCGCGTGAGTAATTTAAGGTTTGTGATTGGTTAAGGGGTCTGGTCAGTACATGATTCAGATATTTTTGATGTTTTCTAATATTATTTGATATTGTAGTTTCAATAGTTCCGGCAGTCAGATGCAATAAACTCTCTCCAAAACTACACCGATTAATCCATCCAACACGAATGCTATACTAYTTAGGGATTCTCAAACACCGAGCGGAAGCCTTGTAATGGCCTTTCAAATGCTTACAGCCGTTGTTGTCTTATCAGTTTGTGGGCTGCGGTTGGTTGGTAAGTTTTTAGGCTTTTAAGTTATCTAATTTTAGTAGATAGCAGGGTTCTAGAAARTTTATAGCATTCCTCTTAGGATATTTTATGAGTTCATTCAATAAGGTTGCCTTTTTTTTTTCCTTTACGTTATAATTCCGAGACGCGAGATATGTGAAGGTAATTCGAGGTCCAAGACTTGTGGAAGTGATTCTTATTTTAGATAAAGCTAATTTCCCTTCATTCTTAGCTTTGTTTTGAAGTCAGTACACACACACACACACACACAAAACAAAAAACAAAAAACAAAACAAGAAAGTAAAAATAAAATAAAATAAAACATGGAATCCCTACATTAATTCTTTAGTTTTCATGAATTAAACACTAAGCACGCTATCTGAAGCCGGAAAAAATTGTGGTACCCTTGCATTTAAAAAGGATGACTCTACATCATTCTACATCAGGCCTAAGAAAGCATGTTTCTCCCCAAGRGGTTTTGATAAATTTTTCCTTTTAAATTATTTTAAATGACTATCGCTGTTTCTTTAGTACATAAGTACGAAAGAAGTGTGAAGCGAAGCWCGCGCCGTGGGCAAGCATACGAGTGAAAAACGTCTGCGTATGCTGCATGTCTTTAAATTTTGCTATCAAACCTGCCTGATAAATGGGCACTTCAAAATGCCAAAATCTATAGTCAGTTTTGAACTTTAACGCTAAAATTCTAATGTTCGAATAGACCCTTGCACTGACTTCACATCAATCAAATCAATCAATATTATTTTATCACATTTACGTTAGCAATCGTTGTTACGCTTGTCCTGTGGGGACAACCAGACTTTGTTTACATAGGGAAGACAAGGGAAATTGAACATATCTAACGTCTGTAAATCGAAAAAATAATAATAAAAAAGCCTTACTACCAGATTACTTGAATAATCTAAGTCAAAAGGAAGCAAAGGAACGATACAAGCGGAAATTAGAGTTAATTGGTGGTTTCGACCCGAAACGATTAGAGTGATGACGTAATTTGTGGCCTACTAGCGTTACCTACATAGATGTTGGAATGTACCTTCTTTTCTCAAAGAGTCCTTACACRGAAGAACAGTTAAAAAACTACAAAAGCTTAGCTTGCTACCAAAACTTCGCGAATGGCTGGGTTAGGGAAGTACTTGTTAAAACGTTTGACGAAAATCGACTAGTGATCGSAATGTAAGCTTATGGATTCAGCGTTACGTATTGGGTCACGTTTGTCGAATTGTTGTTTGTTTTAGTTTTAACTTATCTTGTTTCCAAATCTAAATTTGCCTAAATATTATATGGCAAATTAATCATTCACAAAGAATGTCCGAAAAAACTTTATTTCCGTGGGTTATCAGTGAAAAATATGGTACTTGAAGATCGTGGCCACACATTGCGACTGTATGGCAGGCCTTGGAGAGAGTTGTTGTCATGTAGCATCGTTGTTGTGGGCCTTTGAAGCTGGTGTCAAGCAAAGGGATTCGCTGATAGTTACGGATAAAAAAGYGTGCTGGGTTCTTGSTTCTGCTGTGAAAAAACGTTTCCTRCTCCCGAATCAAAGACATTTCCTTCCTAGAGAAATGCCCAAATAATGTTCCAAAGCCAGAAATAGAAATTTAAGACAGAGTCCCAACCCCAACCTTTTTCTCAGATATCCACTCATCTAAGCCTGCACTTTTCTTCTTGATTGAACAGTTTTCAGATCCCTATGTCCCAAGATCACTTTAATAGCCCTGACCTCCCAACAGTCTTGTCTGAATACTTTGACAAGGAATTGTCAGCTGCTGACTATTCTACAGTTGAATCAGTAGCCAGCCAGAAGTTGTCTGTTTATATAGTCAATGAAACTCGGAAAAGGGCAGTGGAAGAAAAAGCATGAATGAAGTCTACTTCCAGAATCTGGTTTAGAATGAGAACAGGCAGGGTCATAGCTTCAAAATTTGAATGCATGTCACACAAATCCAGAAAAGCCATCCACAAGTCTCATTATGGGCATTTGCCATCCAGAGTTAGCTAAGTTTAGCACTGAAGCAACAAAATGGGGTTGCTGTCATGAAGAAACTGCTAAGGAAGAATACAGAAAATTTCAAGAGAATAAGCACAACGACTTCAAGTTAGCAAAATCTGGATTCGTCATCAACATACCACATAGCTTTATTGGGGTAACACCTGATGGTACCGGTCTAGCTGATTCAACTGGCTTCCTTCGATAACAGTAGCAAAACCTCAGCGCTTTCTGTTCTTAATCTTTTCTCTTGTTTGCGACGTACCTGTCATGTCGTTCCTTGTTAGTTTTTTTTACGGAGGACTAGTTTATTAATGTCCAAGTTTTTCGCTTGGTGCCCAATCTGGGTTCTCCTTGTCGAATAAAGAAGCTGGCTCAACTTCAAGAATATCAAACAATAAAACAAGGTTCAATTCTCTCATACACACTTTCAATTTCACACGTTCAAACCTGAAATAAAATCATCGCTACACACACGAATATTTAAAAAATTCTCTGGAGTTTTGACATCGTCTCGTCGTAACCTCAAAATTATACTGACTCGGGCTTCGTTGTTCTTGAAGCATCTGCTTTTCATTGTTGACATTATTCTAAATAGCAGAAAGACAGTAATAACTTCCATCTTTTTCTCTGMTTGAAGGATTCGAACAACCAAAAACAGCGCAAAAATGAACCATATTTAGGACAAGTTCAGCATTCACTACAAGAAAGATGGCGTCTGGTTGTCCCCCAGGAGAAATTATCACGTGATGCGTGACGAAAATACGCAAGGGGTCTGTTGCACCATCACGTGACAGCAGTCATGTTGGATGGTAGGAACAATACAACGTTTTACATAAGAAAGCATTCAACTCCCAAGAACAAAGGGATTTAAATGTTCTGCCATCTAACAGGCAGTCCAAGYTGTATTGTTGGCCAAACGCATGTCACTCTGGAGTGATTATCTCCAAAGCAAGCTCGGRACACGCCATTTTTCTTTGCATTTTTGAAATCAGCATTMAATTTCAGGTTAAAAAAGTTTCRATTTTYAATTTTCTGTTWATTATTTACAWAAGTAGTCAGCCACCTWAWTACACTACCTTTSTTTCACAAAAGTATACCTACAAATTTTTTGAAGAGGTATATTAGGAGCATAGGGGCATGGCACTTTGCATCAGTKCTTCGTAGTTCTCCACRCCATGAWTAAGCCATTTTCAAATTAATCTTTAGACTAGCAAGAAAGGTATGAAAGAGTATTTCAATAGARTATACCCCTTATAATCTAGCACCTAACTTGCATAGTTTACCTTCGCTTCGTTGTAGRTCKCAGCTGCATTCCGAYATGCTGTATAGGGATCTATACATTTTTCRCGCRCGTCACGCTGTAAGTCATGTCATGTCATTATGGCCACTGCAACTTGCAAAACGAAAATATTTTAAAGTGGCTAAATGAAATTTAGGAGAAGTWAAAACCGAGATAATGTATGCTGCTCAGCGGTCTTCCCAACAATGTGCGGGAAGGACCCAGGGCATTATCAGGGTCTTACTTGCTGTGTTTGCAGTGCTGGTTGATTTGCACCAAGAGTTTTTCTCCCACCCTCACTCCTCTGCTAATAGGTTTTCTACAGGTGAGTATATACTCCACCGAATCTCAGTGTGACAGGTACCGGTGGTGAGCTGTGGCCCAGTTRCCATGGTTACCTTCCAGCGGGGACGTGATCTGTCGCAACCCAAGCTCGCCCTGGTACCTAACCCCAACTCATTTGTCGATGAGTTTAATTTTCGTAAAACGGGAAAAGCCTAATTTAAGCCATAAAAGTTCCCTACGATGGAAAAGGCACGTTCATTGTTCTTTTTCTCTACAGAAAGTACTCCAAGTTGGACGAGTACACCATACAGTAATAAGAAAGTATATGGAATAATTGGTGGGTCATACACCTTTGTATGGCAGTATAATGAAAATGGCTCACCATTGAACCATGGCCAGTGGTCTAAAATTGCAATGAGTAATGATGATCCACCCAAAGAGATCCAAAAAGCAATAGGTCAACGCAGCACTAGTGGGTCATCAACTACAATTGCTCCAGATTTTCAGAGCAGAGTCACTTTCACATCGGGTGTTTCAGAAGCAGGTTTTGAAATCAGACAACTGACGTCTGCCGATAATGCAAAGTTCACCTGCCAGCTAACTTTTGATAATTTTGATGTGCTAGCTGATTCGGCAGAACTTGTTGTTGTAGGTAAGTGTTCAGGCAATGGGACCTTTTTTGAGTGAGAGGTGGATTTGAAGGGCATGAGCCATACAGGGTAAAATTTATTAAGGAAAAAGATAGCATGGCTGCATGTTGTGTGTAGTTATAAGCATATAAGCATATAAGCAGAACATGAGAAAAGTGTTAGGAGAAACAAGATGAGTAGCAGAGTACTTCTTAGGCACACAGCACAGCAAGATCATCCAAGATTTCAAGATTGGTTATCATTTGAGTGGGAAAGCATAATAATGWTACTGACTTACAGCACACATATGGTACAACATGTAACATACAGACAATAAAATTAAAATGGCTTTTGAAAAGAATGGTTATCATGAATATGAAACATGATACTGACTTACAGCATATATATGGCATGACATATGCTGTAACRACGAAATTACTTTCCATTGTCTACCAGTAAGTCATCCAATAATTATTATAACGTGTAATTATGATTATGGTAAGATGTAGTGCAAGTACAACATGGCTATGAATTTGTTGCATCATTTCCCACTCCTACAGAAACCACTCTTAAAAGATACAAATTTAGTAGTTGTTATTTGGGTATGAATAATGAAATAAAAAAGTGTGTACTCCTGCTGTGTGCACCATATTCACAACCATCAGATTATGGGATCTGTAAAATAATGTCATAAAGTGCAATGCTCAGACTCAGTCACAATTTGACAAGACATTTCTGAAATTCTTTATTACAGTTCCACCCATCATTACCAATAAACTCACAGCACCCCAGACCATTAATGAAGGACAGACGTTTAATCTACCTTGTGCTGCAACTGGGAATCCACTGCCAATAATACGATGGTTAAGAAATGGTATTGAAGTGCAGTACCTTCATGATCATTCTGGTTACAACATCACTGATGCTGGCAAGAAGGATAAAGGGTTGTATCGATGTGAAGCTATAGTCACAGGAGGAAGTATTGTGAGGACTGCTTATTATGAAGTGAACATCAGTGTTAGATGTGAGTATGCTATGGACATGGGGTTGCAAACAAAAATTAAGGGTTACTTGGGAGTAAATTGG